TATCAAAGTCGATAATTCTTGAACAAAACTAATATATGAACATCGGACAGATTATCCACAACTTTGACGACAGTAACTAAAACCTTATCCGAAAATTAGAAAATTAAAAAAATAATAATTAAAAACCAACACACCTTGCCGGTACTTTTTAATCAAACTATATATATATATATATATATATATATATATATATATATATATATATATATATATATATATAAAAGATTTTATGTTTATACATTCTTTTTATAGATGCAAATATTTAAGTAAATGCTCTGTTTATAATGAGAAGTATTAAATAACATTTACCGGGTTGAATGCCCGAGAAATTTTCATAAAACAGACCATTTACTTATATATTTGTATCTATAAAAAGAATGTATAAACATAAAAAAATGCCTTAAAATAATTGTCGGACTTTGTCATTTTTCATATATATATATATATATATATATATATATATATATATATATATATTTAAGTTATGAAAACTTGGTAATTCGTATGGGTAATCCCAAGGTGGATGAAATCCTGAGAGCTAAATGTAAATCCAGAGCTAATATTTAAAAAAAAAAACAGAGCACTTTAAGGTTTTTCTTGAATATATATATATATATATATATATATATATATATATATGTGTGTGTGTGTGTGTGTGTGTGTGTGTGTGTGTGTGTGATACATTTATCGTCTCAATTCTTCCCAAGTTTGCTGCTAGACAAGTTGGTTCACTGCGTCGTGCCAAGCAATTTTACTCGACAGAATCTGAACTGGACAATGATAAGGATACCATCCGTCCGTTCCTTGGATATTGTTGCCATATATGGTTTGGTGCTTTCGCTGTGTATCTAGAGATTCGGTCGTGATCTGGAGATCTTGGCTTCAGTCACATTTCCCTCTGCTTTTTCCATAAATAATTACATGCTAGTGGTTCTGATAAGCTTCCCCCTTTGATACATTGATTACACCAATTTAAGCGCCGTACTATATTGGCAGTTAGGTCTCGTAATTTCACAGTTAAAATTGATACTTGCAACAGTACTAAGAATTTATTTTCCGCAGGTCTCGACTGCAGAACACTCAAAAAGATCTGTGTCTTAGTGGCTTTATCACCTTGCTTATGTTCACATGATAAAAAATTTCCTATCTAGCTATAACAGTCTGCTCATATCTATCTATCTATCTATCTATCTATCTATCTATCTATCTATCTATCTATCTATCTATCTATCTATCTATCTATCTATCTATCTATTTATCTATCTATCTATCTAACCAAATTTGTTAATAATCTATCTATCCCAATTTTTAAATATCTATCTATCTATCTATCTATCTATCTATCTATCTAACCAAATTTATTAATAATCTATCTATCCCAATTTTTAAATATCTATCTATCTATCTATCTATCTATCTATCTATCTATCTATCTATCTATCTATCTCTGCCAATCTCTTCATATCTATCTATCTGTCTTCCACTTCTGTCCGCAAATTTGTCTCCTAATGTAATCTTCTACCTTGACTGGCCCTCGGGCCTTTTAGAGGGTGAAACCTAATGTAAAAAAAAAGATATTTGCGGACTGAAATAGACAGAAAGCGATATAAGGAATGAGGGAAAGAGAAAGTAAAATAAAGTTCTGTGTTTTTTATTTAAGATATCGATTTAATCTCAAAAGCGTTTAATAGTAGGTTCTGTTTTCACTTGTTGCTTTTCTCTATTACAAGTTAATTTGCGTTCGCCCATCTTATTCTCCAGAAGAATCTGATCATTAATCTGAATGGAGGAAATCAGAAAAAAAACTTTCTCAGTTCGTAATTAGCAATCTAGAGAACGGAAGTAAGATTTTTGAAGCGCTCGAAATGTTCAATGCATGAACACGTTTTCTTGTTAATGGCAAAAAGGCTGCGACGTTGGTCGGTTGTATAAAAGCAGTGTGACATCATGAAGGGAGATTGCAATTGTAAGCTGTTCAGTCAAGGGAAATTATTAAGCTAGATCGAAAAAGACGGCAACAGACAGACAGCTAGACAGATAGATAGATAGATAGATAGATAGATAGATAGATAGATAAATAGATAATGAACAGACTTCCATGCTTAACCAATTTCCATAGGTGGAGAAAGAGTTATATATATATATATATATATATATATAGACAGATAGATAATAAATAGATAGATAGATAGATAGATAGATCAAAAAAGAATACATATATCACAGACATAAATGCAAAATACTTAATATCTAAACACACACACACACACACACACACACACACACATATATATATATATATATAGAGAGAGAGAGGGATAGATAGATAGATAGATAGATAGATAGATAGATAGATAGATAGATATAAAATTTCGATAGACAAAAAAAACAGAATTAAATACGAATTAAGATTAGGCACACACACGCACACACATACATACGCACACCCATACACACGCAAAATACATACATATATATATATATATATATATATATATATATACAAAGAGCGAGAGAGATGGGGAGGGACGTATGATAGAAAAACACACATATATACACACACACACACACACACACACACACACACACATATATATATATATATATATATATATATATATATATTAAAAGTTCAACGATAATTCTTCTGCCGCCACTTAATTTAAAGACAATTTGATGTTCGTAGGTCTTTAATTTCTGTACAAACAATTATTTTTATTTCATGGATGACTTTTTTTAGTTCATGGGGTGAAAAATTCGTTGCAAAAAATCCCGTAAAAAAAAGCCGAAAACAAACGCTGTAATGGAAAGTTGGGAATCCAAGGTTTCAAGATGGCGGGTCTGGTTCCGCTTCGGAATGTTTTGAATTTGTTCAGGGAGTCGGCCTGATTTCCAAAAGGGTATGACACCTTGGGCTACGGCCTCTGGGAGTAAAATTGAAAAAGTGAGTGAGTTTGATACTGACATTCGCATAGATAGATAGATAGATAGATAGATAGATAGATAGATAGATAGATAGATAGATAGATAGATAGAAATTGGATGCATAGATTGCTAGATAGATAGATTATGTATCCAGCTAACTAGCTAGCTAGATAGACATGAAGAGATTAGATAGATAGATAGATAGATAGATAGATAGATAGATAGATATGAAGAGACCAAGATAGATAGATAGATAGTCGTAAAACAAAACAGATAGATGTCGTAAAACAAAAAACAAACCAATTACCATTTACTAAAATGTTCATTTAGATAGATAGATAGATAGATAGATAGATAGATAGATAGATTTAAAACTTTGATACACACACACACACACAAAACAGAATTAAAAACGAATTAACATTTAAACCTAGATAGTGTAATATACCGTACAATATGAACACTAATTGGTATGGCCCAACCCTCATAAATACGTTGGATACTATTGTAAGTGGGAGCAATATGTTGTCTAAGCTGTCAGCGTGGGAAGCTTTTGCCGTGTCGAACTCTCTAAGTCGGGCAGAGAGGAAACCTATGCGAAGATCAGAGTCTCGTCCGGGAAGGTAGGCAGATAGTACGTGGGGGCTACGGGCAATTTTTGCCTGAGCCCACGTGCTCGGATTTCTGCATTTTAAATTAGGTCTTCTGCCATATGCTACCTCGAAGTGAGACAGGTTATTATCGTAATATGCTGTCTAATTAATCCACCACTAGCAGTGGTTTACCTATTTCACGCTGCTAGCGAGTATTGTATTTTGTTGATGTTATAAAGTTTACCATTTCATTTCCAACCTCCGTTTTGGTTATTCCTCATTCAGTAACCTTTTCTAGTTTACTACACATAGATAATACAGACGAATATATATATATATATATATATATATATATAAATATATATTAATACTGTTTATTATAAATCGTTAGCATTTACTTAAATATTTGTATCTATAAAAGAATGTATAAACATAAAATGTCTTAAAATAATTGTCGGACTTTGTCCATTTCATAATATACACACACACACACACACACATATATATATATATATATATATATATATATATATATATACACACACACACATATATATATATATATATATATATATAGATAGATAGATAGATAGAGATAGATAGATAGATGGGAAGAAATAGCTCTCTAACTCGCTAGACAGATGGATAAAACCGATAGATAGATTCATGGATAGACAGCTCGATATAGAATGATAGTTGTCAAGAAAATAAAATATATATATATATATATATATATATATATATATATATATATATATATGTATATATATATATATATATAGAGAGAGAGAGAGAGAGAGAGAGAGAGATAGATAGATAGATAGATAGATAGATAGATAGATATGGTCAAATAAGCCAGTTTTAACTATCGTCTTCATTTTTTTTTTCTATATATCTCAAAAAGAATTCAAAACAATTATTTCGGAAAATGAATATTTCCTTGAAATATGTTGCAAAATTTCGAAGTCGAGATCCGAAATTAAGAAATTATGAACTTTAAACGAACTGTTGATCGTAAGGGAACCAATGTTTCCACGTAATAAGGCCGTAATCTTCTAGTTCTTAGTTTAATGTGTTGGTTTTGTAATATTGTTCGGTGTTGCATAAAACTCTATCCTCTTCTATGTTGCTTTACGTTTGGCCAAACACAGTTCAAAATGAACCGCAGTCAATATTTGAAAATATGTGACTTGCAAAAAAAAAAAAAAAAAATCCTGGAACACTTCGTACGAAGATTGTTTTTACTAAGCGAACTTCCATTTCTTCCTGTGATTTTGTCTTGCTTTGCCATTAGATTCGTTTTGACTTTACATAGAATTTTCCTTCTTTTTTTTTTTTTCTCTAACGGGGAATTTAATTTTCTATGGAGATCCAGTTCGAGGAAGGATAATAATTATGTCAATAGTCTGCTTCAAAATAACTGATCTAAACCTAAAATATTATTCTCATGGATATTTAAGACATTGGCAACGTTCTAACAGAATGGTAAATTTTATTTGAAGGATGTGCGGGTGGTGTAATGGATATTGGCCCGGAGTGAGAAATCGACGAATCGATTTCGAATTCCAGTCAGGTTTGTTTCATTCACTTACAGAATGTAGGAATTCATTTCTTTCCCCATTTATGGGTTAAATAGCGGGACAGACTGGGTTCTATAGCATTGATTGGTCACCATTCTAGAAATTGACAAGGTGTCTATGAACTTGGTGGTCTTTTCAACAGGACATTTTCATTAACGGCCCGCCTGATCCATATTTCTGGTAAATTCACATTGAGATAAGTCCGCACTGGCGCGTCTGAGTTCGCTCACAATGGAGACACGATTGACACCGAGGTTTGTTTGAGAGGGCGTGGTGGAGTAATGGATAGAGGTTCGGATTTAGGAATCGGAGTTCGAATTCCAGTCGGATTGATTACATACATTTACGTGCAAAATACCTTTAGGAAAAGTATGAATCCTGTTCTTCTCCTCCCCCAGCTATGGGTAAATAGCAGGACAGACTGGGTTCTATAGCCTTGAATGGCATTCTGTCTATGAGAAAGTAACTCTGAATTCAACCTGTATGTAGCCCTGGCGTAGCACATAGAACACAACTATAGGAAAGGATCGTTCTCATTGGCTCGATGATCCCGACAAATCATTATTATCTATCTATCTATCTATCTATCTATATATATATATATATATATATATATATATATATATACAGAAACTTTTGGATAAAAGTCATCGAATCAGATCATTTTCTTTTTTTCCCGGTAGAAAATAACAATGTATAGTCACACACTGACATTTACTGGTCTTTAAATCTGTGTTATCTATCTATCTATCTATCTATCTATCTATCTATCTATCTATCTATCTATCTATCTCAGCCTATTCATCTCTATTTGTCTATCTCAAGATCTATCTATCTATCTTTAACTCAGCCTCCTCATATCTATCTATCTATCTATCTATCTATCTATCTATCTATCTATCTATCTATCTATCTATCTCAGCCTATTCATCTCTATTTGTCTATCTCAAGATCTATCTATCTATCTTTAACTCAGCCTCCTCATATCTATCTATCTATCTATCTATCTATCTATCTATCTATCTATCTCAGCCTATTCATCTCTATTTGTCTATCTCAAGATCTATCTATCTATCTTTAACTCAGCCTCCTCATATCTATCTATCTATCTATCTATCTATCTATCTATCTATCTATCTCAGCCTATTCATCTCTATTTGTCTATCTCAAGATCTATCTATCTATCTTTAACTCAGCCTCCTCATATCTATCTATCTATCTATCTATCTATCTATCTATCTATCTATCTATCTATCTCAGCCTATTCATCTCTATTTGTCTATCTCAAGATCTATCTATCTATCTTTAACTCAGCCTCCTCATATCTATCTATCTATCTATCTATCTATCTATCTATCTCAGCCTATTCATCTCTATTTGTCTATCTCAAGATCTATCTATCTATCTTTAACTCAGCCTCCTCATATCTATCTATCTATCTATCTATCTATCTATCTATCTATCTATCTATCTCAGCCTATTCATCTCTATTTGTCTATCTCAAGATCTATCTATCTATCTTTAACTCAGCCTCCTCATATCTATCTATCTATCTATCTATCTATCTATCTATCTATCTCAGCCTATTCATCTCTATTTGTCTATCTCAAGATCTATCTATCTATCTTTAACTCAGCCTCCCTATCTATCTCTATCTATCTATCTATCTATCTATCTATCTATCTATCTATCTATCTATCTATCTATCTCTATCTATCTATTCAGCCTCCTCATATTTCTATCTATCTATCTCAAGATCTATCTATCTCATCTTCATCTCTATTTGCCTCCCATCTATCTATCTTTCTATCTCCTCATCTATCTATCTATCTATCTATCTATCTATCTATCTATCTATCTATCTCAGCCTATTCATCTCTATTTGTCTATCTCAAGATCTATCTATCTATCTATCTTTAACTCAGCCTCCTCCATTATCTATCTATCTATCTATCTATCTATCTATCTATCTATCTATCTATCTCAGCCTATTCATCTCTATTTGTCTATCTCAAGATCTATCTATCTATCTTTAACTCAGCCTCCTCATATCTATCTATCTATCTATCTATCTATCTATCTATCTATCTATCTATCTATCTCAGCCTATTCATCTCTATTTGTCTATCTATCTCAAGATCTATCTATCTATCTTTAACTCAGCCTCCTCATATCTATCTATCTATCTATCTATCTATCTATCTATCTATCTATCTATCTATCTCAGCCTATTCATCTCTATTTGTCTATCTCCAAGATCTATCTATCTATCTTTAACTCAATCTCCTCATATCTATCTATCTATCTCTATCTATCTATCTATCTATCTATCTATCTATCTAGCCTATTCATCTCTATTTGTCTATCTCTAAGATCTATCTATCTATCTTTAACTCATCCTCCTCATATCTATCTATCTATCTATCTATCTATCTATCTATCTATCTATATTCATCTATTTGTCTATCTCAAGATCTATCTATCTATCACTCAGCCTCATATCTATCTATCTATCTATCTATCTATCTATCTATCTATCTATCTATCTATCTTTCATCTCTATTTGTCTATCTCCAAGATCTATCTATCTATCTTTAACTCAGCCTCCTCATATCTATCTATCTATCTATCTATCTATCTATCTATCTATCTATCTCAGCCTATTCATCTCTATTTGTCTATCTCAAGATCTATCTATCTATCTTTAACTCAGCCTCCTCATATCTATCTATCTATCTATCTATCTATCTATCTATCTATCTATCTCAGCCTATTCATCTCTATTTGTCTATCTCAAGATCTATCTATCTATCTTTAACTCAGCCTCCTCATATCATCTATCTATCTATCTATCTATCTATCTATCTCATCTATCTATCTCAAGATCTATCTATCTATTCAGCCTCCTCATATCTATCTTCTATCTATCTCAAGATCTATCTATCTATCTTTCAACTCTATTTGTCCTCCTCATCTATCTATCTATCTATCTATCTATCTATCTATCTATCTATCTATCTATCTATCTATCTCAGCCTATTCATCTCTATTTGTCTATCTCAAGATCTATCTATCTATCTTTAACTATCTATCCTATCCTCATATCTATCTATCTCATCTATTCATATCTATCTATCTATCTATCTATCTATCTTTCTCAGCCCTATTCATCTCTATTTATCTATCTCATCTATCTATCTATCTATCTTTAGCCTATTCATCCTCCTCTATCTATCTATCTATCTTTCTCATCTATCTATCTATCTAATCTATTCATCTATCTATCTATCTATTCATCTCTATCTATCTCAAGATCTATTCATCTATCTATCTCAAGATTTATCTCTATCTTTAACTCTCCTCATATCTATCTATCTATCTATCTATCTATCTATCTATCTATCTATCTATCAGCCTATTCATCTCTATTTGTCTATCTCAAGATCTATCTATCTATCTTTAACTCAGCCTCCTCATATCTATCTATCTATCTATCTATCTATCTATCTATCTATCTATCTATCTATATTCATCTATCTATCTATAATCTATCTATCTTCTTTAATCTCTATTTGTCTATCTATCTATCTATCTATCTATCTATCTATCTCAGCCTATTCATCTCTATTTGTCTATCTCAAGATCTATCTATCTATCTTTATCTCAGCCTATCTATCTATCTATCTATCTATCTATCTATCTATCTATCTATATCTATCTCAGCTCTATTCATCTTTTGTCTATCTCTATCTCTATCTATCTTTATCTATCTATCTATCTATCTATCATCTATCTCTATCTATATCTATCTATCTATCTATCTATCTATCTATCTATCTATCTATCTAATCCTATTCATCTCTATTTGTCTATCTCAAGATCTATCTATCTATCTATTCATCTCTATTTGTCTATCATATCTATCTATCTTTATCTATCTATCTATCTATCTATCTATCTATCTATCTATCTATCTAAGCCTATTCATCTCTATTTGTCTATCTCAAGATCTATCTATCTATCTTTAACTCAGCCTCCTCATTTATCTATCTATCTATCTATCTATCTATCTATCTATCTATCTATCTATCTATCTCATCCCTATTCATCTCTATTTGTCTATCTCAAGATCTATCTATCTATCTTTAACTCAGCCTCCCCTCATCTATCTATCTATCTATCTATCTATCTATCTATCTATCTATCTCAGCCTATTCATCTCTATTTGTCTATCTCAAGATCTATCTATCTATCTATCTTTAACTCAGCCTCCTCATATCTATCTATCTATCTATCTATCTCTATCTATCTATCTATCTATCTATCTATCTATCTCAGCCTATTCATCTCTATTTGTCTATCCTCAAGATCTATCTATCTATCTTTAACTCAGCCTCCTCATATCTATCTATCTATCTATCTATCTATCTATCTATCTATCTATCTCAGCCTATTCATCTCTATTTGTCTATCTCAAGATCTATCTATCTATCTTTAACTCAGCCTCCTCATATCTATCTATCTATCTATCTATCTATCTATCTATCTATCTATCTATCTATCTATCTAAGCCTATTCATCTCTATTTGTCTATCTCAAGATCTATCTATCTATCTTTAACTCAGCCTCCCATATCTATCTATCTATCTATCTATCTATCTATCTATCTATCTATCTATCTATCTATCTATTCATCTCTATTTGTCTATTCATCTATCTATTATGTTTACTCAGTCTCTCATATCTATCTATCTATCTATCTATCTATTATCTATCTCAGCCTCCTCATCTCTATTTATCTATCTCCAAGATCTATCTATCTATCTATCTATCTCAGCCTCCTCTAATATCTATCTATTCATCTATCTATCTATCTATCTCAATCTATCTATCTATATCTAT